CTTTGGCTTTTATTGATGTTACGTCTCTTATGTTTGCAACAGTCCTACAGAAATGTAGTACCCTGAAAAACAGCCTGTGATTCAGTAGCTTATAGAACCACTTTAAGCAGCAATAACTTAAGACTGGTTTATTTGCTTATGAGCCTCAGTCTCTCACATTGATGTGAAGGGATTTTGGCTCACTCTTCTTTACCAAGTTTCTCCATTTCATTGAGATTTGCAGGGAATTGTTTATGCACAGCTCCCTCGGGTCTTTCCACACACATTTAACACGGGTTGAGGTCTGGACTTTGAGTGGACTGCAACACCTCGTTTCAGATTTATTCCTGAGGATTGTTGTCCTGTTGCACGTCTCAAATGTGGCCCAGCTTTATCTATCAGACAGATGCATACATTTGAATCAAGAATGCTTTGGTATACAGAGGAATTCATGGTCAACTCGTGGTGCTGTGGCTGCAAAACGAACCCAAATCTTCACCCCTCCAAGAACATGCTTGACAGTTGGTATGAGGTGTTTGTGCTGATACGCTGTGTTTGTTGTCTCCAAATGCAGCGCTGTGCATTATGGCCAAACATCTGTACTTTTTCCAAACTTAAGGAACGCTACCACGTTGCTTGTAGTGTGAAGAGCCTTTCTCCTGCCTGCTCATCCAAAGAAGTCATACTTGTTCAGCCTGTTTTTGATTCTATCGTCATGAACTTTAACATTTAACATGCTAACTGAGGCCTGGAGATTCTGAAGATATTGGATTTTTTGCAGGTTCTAAAGATTTTCTGCAGTCTGAGCATTGCTTCTCTGACCTTCAGGCGAATCTGATGGGAAGATCATGGTTTTAATGCAAAATACAAACTTCTGCTTTCATGGAATTTTTCACACTTGTGGTTGATGAATTATTCAAGTGCACTTCATTAGCAGCACTTGGCTGTTACTTACCCTCTTAATTCCTTTGGAAGTGGTAATGGTGTACTTAGTTTTTCACAGGACAGCATAAAGTTCTGTGATAGCATGACTGTATTTTTTTCCAGCAAGAAAATATTTTTAATTCATGTATAATTTTTTTAATTGAACGTACTATCTAAGCCTTTTGCAGATTCAGCATACCCCAACTGAGATTTATGATTTTGTGGCAGGATGATGGCAGTCAATTTTGAATATAATGTTTTTGTTTTTTGTTTTTTTTTCATGCCTTTTTATCTTAATATAAGACAATCCACATGTTCTGTTTATTGGTTTGGGTAAACCTGCAGTCAACTGAGTCTGAAAAAGTCACTTGGATAAGTGACGAAACATGAAAAGAACGCATGAAGAGAATCAACTTTTTGGGATTTTCTTACCTGGATAATCGAATATGCATCAACACATCCTTACTGTATGTTTCCTGTGACTGCCACAAAATGTAAACATTCAACCCCAATACTGTGGTTTAAAATTTGCATGGCTTGAATACACCCTGACAAAAGAGTCTTCTTCCTCTCCAGTTTTGTAAATGAACAGAGGGAAATCTGGCTTCACAAATACAGAGGAGAGTGACTCGAGAACACAAGAATGAGCACGTCGTTCTTTCCTTATCACTACAGTGACATATTTTTCCACAATATCGGATTATAGCCCAAATGAGTTTTAACAGAGAGAATAGATATAAACGCCATGAAGAAGGAATCCATGTGGGCGTGACTCACCAGCCACAACACCTGAGACAAAAGTACATAATGGGACTTTTTGGGTGATAACAGAGTCCAGCTTGACAAAACAGACATTGGAACCTGGTTCAAGTGCCTAAAACAACAATTTGCACAAAGACTGGTAAATACATGCATGATAATTTAGCGTTTTCTGCTTTGTTTTTCTGTTCCTTATTTTAAGTCTTGGCTGTTTCTTGTACTTAGTTACCTATTTATATACTTGTTATCAATTATACAATCATTGATTACATAGTTGCACTGAAAGTTTATCTTCTTCTTCGTCTTATCTTCTGCTTCATCCTGTGGTGGAACATATTGTTACAAGAATAACTTTAGCCTTTATGCACTTCCTATTTCTTCCTGTGTCATCTTTGGGTTATAGCGATGACAAAGCTACACATCAGCATATTTTTTAAAACAATACTTTTCACATGAAACACACATAAGTTGACTTGTAATCAGCCAATGAAAACCAGGTTCACTGTCTCAATATGTGGAACTAGGGACAAAGAGAAGTGAGAGCCACTGGTCACTTTGGAGCTTTGCCAAATTTATATCCAAACTTCGACACACTCAGTGGGAGGCATCTTATCTTTTATGATGACAACCTGGTGCTGAGCAGGACACAGCAATGTTTACAATGGCACAATAGAATTAACCAATAAACCTCATAGAAGTTCAAACAAAAATGATAAGAAGTGACACCTCCAGTCATGTCCTGTCACTCTTTTTAGTACAGACCAAACACCCGCCATTGAACTCAGTGAGCTGCAAACACACTCAAAGGTGCTGGACTATGGCAAGTTCTCTGGTTGAAGCCCTTATAATGTTAGAATTTTCCTCCTGGGAATTAACTGTTGCTTAAACATGGTTACCTGCAGTTAAACATTCACTGCTGTGAACAAGCTTTTGCCCCTTTTGTGATTTTTTTTTCCAGATTTGTCACATTCACATGGTTCAGCTCATCCAGCTAATTATAGTATTACACAAAGTTAGCCTGGGTAAATGCAAAATGAAACCTAATAACTGGTTTTGCCACCCTTGTCATTCCTGCCAAGGGTGGCAAAACCAGAACTGCAATTAAGTGCAAGTAACTGGCAGTGACACTTTCATTGTGGAGGAGTTTTGACCCATTTCCTTTCAGCCATGCTGGTAGACTTTCAAGCATGAACAGCTTATTTATTGTCATGCAAAATCGTGGTCAGCAGTAATTTTTTTACTTGAACTTTCCCATGGATGCCATTTTTTTGCCTCTTTCTTGTTGTTAAATCGTGAACTCTGACCTTAAATGGGGAAAGTGAGGCCTACAGTTCTTTGGATGTGGTTCTGGGTTCTTTTGCAGCCTCCGGGATGAGGCATTTTGGTAAGCTGGCCACTCCTTGTCATGTCCACCACTGTCCCAGGTTTTCTTAATTTGTGGATAATGGCTCTCAGTGTTGCTTAATTGAGTCCCAAAGCCTCCTTAATTTTATCAGACAAGTTCTATTTACGTGTGTTCTTATAGTTTTCTCCCTTAATAAACGAAATCATTGACAATTAAAAACTGTATTTACTCTGGTTATTTTTGTCAACTATTACTTCTTGCAAGCTTTTTAATTCAATTGAATTTGACCATTGGATAGCAATTTGAATTCAATTACATTTAATTTATATGGCACCAAATCACAGCAGCAGTTCCCTTCAAGGTGCTTTGTATTATAAATTAAAGGCCCTAAAATAATACAGAGAAAACAGAGAAAACCCCAATGATCAGATGACCACCTATAAGCAAGCACTTGGTGACAGTGAGAAGAAAAACACGCCGTTTAACAGGAAGAACCGTGCTGCAGAACCTGGCTAAGGAAGAGGCGGCCATATGCCATGACCGGATGGGAGTGAGGTGTGAAAAACAAGACAAAAGACGCACTGTGGAAGAGAGCCAGAGATGAATAATAATGATGATGAAATGCAGAGAGGTGTATAAACACGTAGTGAGTGAGGGAAAAAAAAGATGAGCTAAGCATAACTAGAGAAGGATGGTCACCTGATCCTAACCTAACTATAAGCTTACTCAAAAAAGAAAGTTTTAAGCCTAATCTTAAAAGTAGAGATGGTTTCTGTCTCCTGAATCTAGACTGGGAGCTGATTCCAAAGAAGAGGGGCCTGAAAGCTGAAGGCTCTGCCTCCCATTCGACTTTTAAATACTCTAGGAACAACAAGTAAGCCCTCAGTCTGAGAGCAAAGTGCTCTACTGGTGTGACATGATACCATGAGGTCATTAAGATAAGACAGGACCTGATGATTATTCAAGACCTTGTATGTGAGGAGCAGGATTTTATATTTGATAGTGGATTTAACAGGGTGCCAATGAAGAGAAGCCAATATAAGAGAAACATGCTCTCTCTTTCTAGACATTGTCACTAATCTTGCTCCAGCATTTTGGATTAACTGAAGGCTTTTCTAGGAGTTTTTTTTAAATAGAAAAAATAGTAATAATGAATTGCGTTATGCAAGAGAGCTAAATGCTATATAACCCTGTGGAACTCCATAATCAACCTGTGTGCATGGAGAAGACTGCCCGTTTACATGAACAAATTGGAGTCTATTAGAAAGATGTAATTCAAACCACTCAAATGCAGTACCTTTAATACCTACAGCATGTACTAATCGCTGTAATAAAATATTATTGATGATGAGCTCTGAAACCTCTGCAGATGATCAGTTTTAAAACCACTCTTTCAAGATTTTATGAGTAAAAAGAAAGGTTGGATATTGCTCTGCAAGTAGAGATGGCTTTTTAAGCAATGGTTAATAAAGAAAGGTTTGTCATTTTTAATTAATGGTAGGACCTACCTTGTAGGAAAAGGTAGTGTAAGGTAAATGTGATAAATATGCAAATATGAAAAATCACGATGGTTTGCACAGCACTGCAACTGCTTTATTTTTTAGGTGATTTTAAAACACCCACTGAAAGCAACAGCGTTGTAACGTCTGTTTAAGAAACCAGACACGTGATGCCGGCTAAAGGCGCGAGACGTTAGCTGTCGCTGGAGTCGTTCCCTTTGTTCGTGCAGGTGGCGCAAGACTCATTGCGCGTGCGTGGCAGTTATACGGCGTGTAAAGTGTGCAGCAGCTCGCCGCTCCGCTGCAGGTAGGTACGGGACAGATAAGCGGTGAATTCGAACCTAGCAGCACGGCGTTTCCTTAAACCTGCTATTTTACCGGCAACAGTCCGTTTCCCAGCTCTTTGTTATCACCGAGGAGCAGCAGTTTGCCATGGCCGAGTGGCCAACTTGTTGATGTTGTCGCACTTGTTTCGTTTTTCATTCAGGGTAAGTTCAGTTTGTTTATAGTTTTATTGCTTTATTCAGCAGCTAGCGACTAAAGGAATGTTTTTTAAAAAGTATTATTCCCACTGGGGAATTATCGCGATATGAATTTGACCTGCCGTGTATAACAATCAATTCTAGCTGCTGAGATATAGTAGCTTGTTACTACATTTGTGTAGTTTTGTTATTATTCGTCCAGGCGCACAGATGTCCCAGCAGGGGCTCCTGTGGTGCTAAAATAAGCAGCTGTAAGGAGTCACGAAGGCTGGTAGCTGTGTTATTTGTGGTGCTGGAGTAAGACGTCCTGTGTCCTGCACCTCAAAGCCCCGGCGACTGGTGCAGTCAGTGCACTTATTAAGCTCGTCTGGTGTGATAACATCAGATCAGTTGTATCCCCTTTCCTGTTTCTCTTCATCATTTTAAATCAAATTCCTTTAAAAAAAGTACTCTCACGTTCTCTTACATTACGATAGTTAAATAAACAAGAACTTACGTGCCCTCGAGCAAGACGCTGTCATCATTATCCACTCACGTTGTATGCGTCCCAGGACTCTGATGATTTATGGGGAACAAACCAGGTGAGAATATTTGTTCAAGCATCTCTATGGAGTTTGTAGAAACTTATGAAGTTTAGGAGATCATACAGAATGAAGCCAAAAACGCACCATCCCAGTCTTGTGCCAAAAACTGATTTCCAGTGTTTATCTAATAGTCTGCACTCAACAGGATTTACAGGTGTTGCATATAAAACAAACAAAAAATACTTGTACTTTGCGTTATTGTATATGCTCTGTGTTCTACATTATAATCAATTCAGTCCTTTCAGCTACTTAAAATATATTTATATAACCGTTATGTTATATTTGTTGCAATTTCTGCTGCCCCTATTGGCCTGATCCCTTTTGAAAAAGACATTTTTGATGTCAGTGAGAGTTTTACATTCATAAACAATGGAAATATAAAAGTTGATTTGCCAAAACTTGATGGCAGACAGTTTGGCTTAAAATGGCTTGATATCATTCACTAGAGATATGTTTGACAAAAGTTTATAGGCCAAAAAATTGTTTATAACAGTTTAAATACTGACAGTCACTTTTGGCAAATACCAGAAATCACTTTTTGGTAGACCACACAACAACAGCTTTTACAAGTTCCCGTCCATTATGATATTGATGCTGTGGGCATCTGCAGTGATCTGGCTCCAGTGGTAAATTAATATGCTTTATTTTTCACTGTGAGGAAGAGACCGGGAATTTGTGTAAGACTGCCGCTGCAGATGGCTGTCCTTCTCCTTTTTCCTCCTCTCTCTCGCGTGTGTGGCACTGACAGTGTCCTCTGTGGGGCATCTGTCAATCAAAACAGCCACAAACATTCAAGCAGTTTAGGATAGTTTAAAAAATCACCCACTAGGAAAACTATCTACAGAGAGCAACACATTTTGAAAAAATCAGGCTGTAAATATGCTTGTCAATGATGTAACGTTACAAATTTTAACATGGAGTGCATTGGAACTGACTCCCTTTCGGTGCCAGGTTGTAGTAGCCATTAAAGGAAATACAGTTTTTGTTACTTTGGTATTTGCCTTAATTTTCAGCTCCAAAGGTTGCCCCTGGTGTCTTTATGGGTTACACTGAGTTGGACCATTTGATAGCAATTTAATTCAGTTTTATTGTTTAGCAGCAAATCACAACAAAAGTCACGTCATTGTAAGGTAACAGACCTTACAGTAATACAGAGAAAACCCCAACTGTCATATGAGGTCCTATGAACAAACTCTTGGTGACAGTGGGAAGGAAAAACTCCCTTTTAACAGAAAGAAACCTAGAGCAGAACCAGGCTTCACAAAGCAACTGGAACAAGATTAGGTGAGGAAGACAGGAGAAAAGACACATTATGAAAGACAGACAGAGATGAATAATAATTGGCCCCTAGCAGCCTAGGGATACTGTAGCTTAATTAATGGGGGGCCCAGGGTCACCTGATCCAACTCTAATTTTAAGCTTTATCAAAAATTACTAAGAACAATCTAGTGTTTGCTTGATTGTTTGCTATAGTTATGGTAAACAGATGGGTACTTATTTAGCTTTTCTACTCTAAGTGATCGCTTTTTACTGTTAGCCACGTTCAACCAGCTGTTTTTTGCTATGCCTTTTAAGCACCACACTCTGATGGATGCGTCAGGAGCAATTTGGGGTTCCCTATCATGCCTAAGAGTGCTGACTAGAGGCACCGGAGCACAAACTACTGACCCTGTGATTAATAAACAGCCTGCAATACATCATGTGCCCCAGAACAGACACCCTTAATAGTGACCTTTTTAAAAAAGGAATAGTATGTTCTCAGCAATCAGTTGTTTCTATAAATTTGTCGGCCATGCTGCAGGAGAGTACAACGTTTCAAGACCAAAGACTCATACTGCTATGTCAAAGCAACGTAAAAAGCTGTTTAAACATTCTTTAATAAATCTGCTGTTAACCATGATAACTTCAAGAACATCTTGTTGTAAATCGTATTCGAAGTAAGCAAAGCAAGTAAAAGATTATAAACGGTATGAAAAAACGATATAAAAAAACTGCAGATGTGAGGTTTATAACTTGTATTTGTTATGTCTCTCTAGAATGTGCATAACTGTGCTCGGATCCAGTAAAAACAAGTTGTCATATTGCTGACGTAATAACCAACAATCACTTAGACAGGCTATCTGCTTCAGTCGCCACAGGGCTTTGACATGGCTGCTGTGTTTTTAGTGGAGATTCCTTTCTGCTAGGCACTGTTTGAGCCTCTGTTTTGTCTGCCGGGTAGCAGATTAACATAACTCTGTGTTGGAGCCGCAGAGTTAGAGAAGCAGAAAACCTGGTAAACAGAAAATTTAGGGCTGAAGTTGCTTATCAAATGAAGTTAAGTGGCCCTCAGCATTATCTCACTGAATAAACAAGCACAAGCTTAATGGCAGCCATCATAAACATACCAGCCAAATTGGTGATTTAATGTGAATGTCTCAAAATAAATCGAATGTCTTTGTCCTGAGTAGGTTTTAAAAAGATTACCGCCAATGTTTCCAAAACTTGTTGTGCAATTCACAGCAATTGTCACAGATGCACTGGGTGATCGGTCAGTAAAGACTTTTTTTTGTTTCTGTTCTCTTTTTGTGCTTTACTGACTCTGCTTTCACCACATCTGCATTTCCATCCCCTCTGCAGCACAAACACATGACTTCAGCAACCACGGGGCACAGACTAATTGCTGCTTACCAGCCTGTTGAGCTTTTGCTAAGCTTCTTTTTTTTTTTTGCCCAACACAAGTTGTGCACCAAGACGTTACAGCTACTGGAGCTCAAGATCAGTAAAAACATGTTATTCTCACAACATTAAATGTGACTAATAGCGGCTCAAGAACAAAAACATGCATCAGAAAAATATTTATGCATTTCTGGGGTACTTTTACATTATCAGTGAGTCATTATTATTATAACAATATATGTGCTGAAGGACAAAAGCAAGAGAGAAACTATTGTGAAATGTCGTTCAGCTTGCTTGCTGTTATTTTTTTCTTTGATTAGTTCAGCAGCTTGGCAAGGTTTGCCGTTGTGCTCATCAAAGCATTCAAACAGACAGAAGGAAGGTCCTGGGTTAAATCACCACTTAGAGCCTTTCTGTGTGGAGTTTGCCATGTTCTCTCTGTCTGTGTGGCTTTTTTCCTATTTGTTAAGGAGATGACTCTGATACTGTTTATCTGCTCTAAATAGTTTTTGTTCAGTTTCTGAGAATCACCTTGTTGGTGCAAAAGATACAATTTTCTAAAGAAATTGGAACCAATGACACACCTTTGTGGCAGCCTGCTCATAACAAAGTGCCTAAAAAGGGCTAAGTTGTCTGTTTTGCATAGACACAACACTGGTTGATCCATTGAGTTATGCACATTTTTTATGCTTGAAAGACTCACAGATCAGTGTTATGTAGCTAATGACCAAAAACATTCCTTTGATACTGGTCAGGTACAAGGATGGACTGGAAATGAGTAAAAAAAGCAGCAAGCGTCGGAAAGTCTGTTGTAAAGAAAGCGGTGGTGCAAGACTTTTGGACTGTTCTGCAATTGATGAGTGTGGCATGTAAGCCCCTCACCCTAAACCGAAGTCAATTTTAACACGTTTTGCTCTCGTAAGTCAATTAAGTAAGAGTGATGATTCAGATTAATCATAGAAGAAAGAATTTTGGTGTTTCAAAATTTTAGTTTCAGTGACCAGTGCCCTACTGTCCTGGCACTACATTTATTTCATCAGACCTCTTTTGTGCACCAAAGAGCTGACACACAGTAAAGTTGTAGGAAATATTGTATGACCTTCTCTCTGTATATCTAATGACATACTTACAGCAACAACATCGTTAGCCTGTTTTTGATTGCAAGATACGGCAAATTATGAGAATGCCATCTGTTATCAGCTGCAGTCTTGTCCACTTCATTAGTGAAAAATGTGGTATAATGCTTTGGTTAACTTAGGCCAGAAGGGGACTTTCTACACAAGCCTTGCAGTAATATCTTTGTTTGCACTACTGAATGTTTAAATGATTTGTATAGTTATGTCACATGCAACAAGAAACACTTTTATTATCTTTGTGACCATATGGCAAGTAGTGCGGTTTTGATGGAACACCAGCTTTGCTTATCACCCGTCCTCTTTATGGTGCAGCTGATTAGTTTAAAGCGTCTCCTGTCTCCTGTCTTCATGCACCGTATTAGCAGCGATAATTATCGCAGTCTGTTTTTTTCTAATCCACAATAGAGGGCTGTGACCTGAATGTTGATCACACTGATATGTGGAAGGTTTGTGTGTTTCTGTGTCATGCTATTAGTTTGTATAGTTGATTATTGTACTCCTACTGCGCTCCTGAATTTACTCTGTTTTGTTTACTGTAGATTTGCTCCTGATTGCTAGGTAGGGCTGCAGTGTGCGTCTGCAGACCTGATTGTACTGCGCGTATACTCATGTGTGATACTAATATCGATTTCCTGGCTCGTCATTTTGTTTCCCCAATTAACTACAACCGAGCACGGGACTGAATGAGGGGCAGCGGGCATGAATCATTGATTAGGGTCTCCAGGGACTTTAGAGATCGGAGATGGGAAAGTAATTGGACTTTAATTGTGGCCTGCTTGCTGTCCTCTCCTCTAAATCTCCCTTTTCTGTTCATTTAAATGATAGAGAGATAGCCTTCCTACATGCACGCCAGTATAACTCTTTATGTCACCTTATCTGCCAGTTTTAATTAGGCATTCTGTAGGTCAATGTTTCTAAAGCTCACCAGCTATGAAGCTTTTTTGTTTTTGCTGGGCACGATTTTGTGTTTCACGTGTTTTAATTTTTACATTCTTTTATTTATTTTGTAGGACTTCTTCTTTGGAAGGTTGGCTATTCGACACCTGGCTGCTCCAGTCTGCATGCCAGATATCCTTAGGTAAAATACTAACACCAAGTTGCTCTCCGTCATAGCATGCATGTTAGATAGAAAGCACTTCAGTAGGAAAAAGCAGAGAATAAAGCGCTTGTGTGAATTGGTGAATGAGGCACATAGTTTAAATCGCTTTGAGTGCTTAGGTAGAGTAGAAAAATGCTATATAAGAATCGTCCACGGAAACATATCCATTATCTCTTCTCTCCAAATGTCTCTTTGGAGTTTTATCTGTGGATCAGACAGAAACATACATTAAGAATAATAATAATAGTAGGAACACCACGTTTTTGATTTGTATATAACATTATTTTAATATAAAATTTATGTCGGACATGTTTGCACATACAAATCAGACATTTGTTGGCTTATGACGTTTTTCTTCTGTCTCCACTTACTCCTAGTAGAGATTTCTGCCATATTACACATCTGGTTAGTGACTTTGTGTCTCTAGTTCTATTCTTGGCCTAAACACCAAAACCAAACAATGAGTTTAAAACACCTCATAAATTTCTGTAACACTGAGAGGAACCTTAAAGTTCTGCTGGTTTACATTACACAGTCATGTTCATTTTTCATAGTACCGCAATAAAAACACACGCAGAGCCTTAAGGCAGTAAGTGCACTCTCCGGGTTACGTGGTTTAAATATAAGCTGGGCTCTGCTATCAGTCATTACTTGTGATATTGACGTAGTTAGAGTTACCTTGCATTACCTTAATCAAAGTTCAAAGGTCCTGACACCATATCCACATGCAGAATAATCATTAATGCAGTCTAGGTGTCATTTGATTTACGGCTTTGTTATGATGAATTATTAATCTCCTATATTTGTCCTGAGTGTAGCAGTCACATTCTTGCAGTCATGGTTTATAAATAACCTTGTGTGACTTGCTCAGCTCAGCCTTTTGGCAGTCCTCAGGGTGGAGAGTATGCAGCAGGGTGTTTGTGAGGGTGTGTGTATTGCAAAGAGAAAGTGTCCCTGTCATTAACTGGTCACATTACGTGAGTGAGCAGGGCTGTGGGTGTGTGCCTCTAAAGGCTTTATTTTTGCAGCACACAGCATGAAGGGGAATTAGCTCAAATGGTAGAGCGCTCGCTTAGCATGCGAGAGGTAGCGGGATCGATGCCCGCATTCTCCAACAAGTTTTTTTTTTTTCCAATCTGGATTAAATACTTTTAAAGGTAAGAGTTTTCTTTACTATTAGCACTGAAAACAGCATCTGTATTATTTCTGTAATTTTTTTTCCTCTCCTGGTAGTGCAGATAACCTTAAATGTCAGCTTATCTTTCCATTTACATTATAACTTTGATACACTGTATCTGCATGCTGGAAAAAAAATTACAATAAAGACGACAACATATCAGGATTTGGTCTCAAAATCTCTAAATAGTCCAATTACTGCACCATTTAAATGACTGAATCTTTTCAGGAAGGATGTAAAGAGAACGCGTATTGAGCAGGTTTATGTTAGCTTCACATGTACTAGGGAAGTTCAGTGAGTGAAGTTTTGTTCGTTTAAGTTAGTGTTTTTAGTAATATTTCCTTATATTGATAAACTAATAGGTTATTTTAGAATAAATGGAGCACACTTCTTACCCTGAAATCGTTGCCAAGTCTGTCTTGGAAATGAGATTTAAATCTCAGTAAAACTTTCAAATGGTAACAAAGGGTAACAAATTTAGAGGCTCACTCACAGGCATGAATGCTTGCATTTTTATAGCTACACACACACTGTGCATGCTTCAGATTTCAACAGCACTCTTTGGCGCATGTTACTCTGGGTTATGCCATATAAAATGTAGCACCATTTTTTAGGCAGTTTTTAGGCAGTTATCCTGGCTTTCTAAAGGTCTTTCTTTGGACATTGGCTGCTTTTTCACTCGTTTTCATTCCAGTCCCTGTTTCTGATCATTTTCAGTAGAATGTTTTTTGTTTTCTTGTTTAAGTGACTTAACCCTGACCTATGAAGCATTCAAGAATAAAAAAGGCACCAACTCAAGAGACTGAACCAGTGTTGTGTCTACATGTGATAGAAAATTTCATAAAGCACCAAAATTGTTTCTTTAAACACTTTGTTTCTAGCCTGTTGCAGAAACTCATAATTTACTCCAATTTCTTTAGTTGAATCTATGAGAAATGTCAAAGATTGAAAGGCATAAAATAGTATTAATGCACCAATGAGGTGATTAGTAAAGAGCTATTAGTTCAAACTAGTGTTCACTGTGTCCTTAAAAATGTGAGCAAATTGGACAGGTGGAATTGGCCTAAATAAACTATCTAAAGCAGATGACCAGTATATGAAGGTCATGTGCTTAAAGGTATTGTGTGTAAAATCTCAACACTAGGTGTCAGTAGATATGCAAGCTGCCACCTGCTCATATGCATTTTTAATGGATTTATTTTCAGTTTATGAGAACGCATCATTTTGCTCGAAGACCTAATTACACACTAATCAGTATATATTTGTGAGTACAACATAATTTTTTTATTAAATAAATAAAAATAAGCTAAAAAATTACTTTCTGTGCCTTAAAGAAACAGTGAGTAAAGGCTAAGGCCTGAAATGAAAATCAGTGGTAACAGGTGTTATAGATTGATGATACCAATTCAATTTCTGGTTCAAAGTGTCAATATGCACAGAGGAGATCATGGGACAGTTACAACAGTGAGTCTCTACAGCCATATGTAAAACACAGTGGAGGCTCTGTCATGGTTTGGGACTGCATTTCAGCCAGAGGTGTTGGAGATCTTGTTAAAATTGATAGAATTATGATCACAGAAAACTACCATCAGATTTTGATCCACCATATATTACCATCTGGAAAACGTCTTATTTAGAATGGCTTCATTTTTCAGCATGACAGTGAAACCAAACACACTGCCCATGCAATGAAACACTATCAGTCACGGATTGCCTTTCCCACTGTCACCGTCCGCTGATGCAGACCTAGTAGGGATTGTGGTGCAGACCTAAACGCGAACAAACAAAGGCATGAAACAGAAATCTTAAGAAAAAGCGAGCCGATTGATTGTGGCTGATAAAAGCATCTAAGCAAATGCAAAAACTTAAGGGCAACCTAAACTGGGAAAAACTAATACTAGTAATAATAAAGAAGTTACAAGAAAACTCCCTAGGAGAGTTCAGGCTGAGTTTCGTCTTTATGGCGAGTATGCTTGTCCATGTTTTCACTAAATCACAACATCTGTTTCCCTTTTTTCTAGAAACAATTTTTGACATGAGCCCTGAACATGAATAGATCAGAAAGAGCTTTTACTTCTATTTGCCCCCTATTCCAAAACCTTTTAAAAATAATCTGGCTTTATTTGATATATAAATCATCTCCACCACAATACTTATCCTAAAAGGTGCAGATATTCAGCATGGGAATCAGTGGTTTATTGGCCTCTCACATCTCAGCTCTTACTTTGAAACCAGTGGTTTTCTTGCTAGGGCTTGTAGGATCCAGGATGTGTGCTTCTCTTTCTCTATACTTACCGTATTGTCTGAAAGATTGCGGTACTGCTAAAGAAGGAAAATGTGGCAATGAGCTGATTAGTTCTTTTGTAAAATGAATTATAGCTTAGCTTTCATGTTACTGCTTGTCCTTGAACTGTTCTGTTAATAATGAACTATGAGCACCAAAACATGTCACAAACAGGAGCTACTGCTCAAACTATTACACATTTCATTGTGTTTTATTCAGGTCAGGCTCTGCGAGGTGTCTAAAAGCAAGCCTGAACATAAAGATGAGTAATAGAGCTTCCTCTGTGGCAAAAGCAAGAGCCCTAGGACCATGACTGTTTCTGTGGTGCTGCAGTTTAGTGCGTTTCATGAAAATCAGACTTTATTTAACATGAAAACAGCTGCAGACTTAATTCAGAGTCTTTGTGCTTCAGGTTAGCCAAGAATTTTGGCTTCAAGGCCTTTTGCGGAGTTGATTTTCAACCAAATTACTGATCTGAAGTACGCCGTGCATGAGTCATCAGCAGATAAAACAGACTGCAGAGCACTCCTCAACAATGTTTTCTATTCATCTTTGCAGATAAATGCTCAGTGGTCCTTTGGCACACTGCTCCCTTCACCTCCTCTCCCTCAGTTTCTGTGCCAGGAGTTATAAAATTGTGCGTCACTTCTGTTCACATCTGCGCACCCACACAGAGGAGTTCACCTAAAACACTTTTTTTGAACACATCCAAAGACAGTTTTTTAAGCAGCTTTGAGAGATACCTGACATGTACACACTCTGGCACACAAGCACAGACGCAGGCTCGAGGGTGTTGGTTGGCTTGTTGGTTGGTTGGTTGTGAAATGTAGTGAGTAACAGTCTGAGGAAGCACCGGGCTATGGAGGAAGTGTCTTAGGCAGATCACTTACTCAGCTGCCTGCTGCCATGAGGGAAGTGGATATGACTGATGTTGTAAGGCAGAAGAATATTTAAGATCATTGATAAGTCTGTTTGTGTATAGTGGGCCTGTTCCAGACGTTGCGAAATGTGAGTGGGAGATCAGACAGTCTGCAGTGGTTTTCATTTCCAAACTTGACCAAACGTCTTGGTCTACACTTGTCAGAAAATGATGGAGAGATTAAATGATTATTTCACTGCAGCACCTATTTTGTTGTAGTTCTTACAGTCTGTCGTATGTATTCGTAAATACAAAGTGAGCCCTTTTTACAGTGAGCACACCCAGGAGATTATTAGGTTTCAAGTCGGGTTATGAGGTATTTGTCAGAGATACTAATAAGCCCTTATAATAATTAGGATTATACTTTAAAAATATGATTAACTACAAGTGTTTTTTACAAACATGTGGTTTAAAAAACTGCAAAAACAATCTTTTCTTGCTCACTGCTGCTCCTCCAAAAATTTATCAAATGCGGCTTTCCTGCTTTTATGTTAGATACTGCATAGTTTGCACTAAATTGTCTGTTCAAGGCTTTTAGTATGAACTAGTGTCAAATAAATACCTGAATACACTTGTCCAAATAAGAAATACGGAAGGTCCTGTGTTCACAGGGCTCAAGGTGACTGCTTTTGTGTAATATTGGAGGATATAACACAGACGCAGATCTCTTGTGCCCTCTGGTGGAGAGTTGTCCTCTCTCTCTATTTCATCCATTTGTTTTCTTGCATATTTTCTGTTTCATTTGTCTAATCGTGGCATGCTATAGAAACATTGCTTTCATGTGTTTTCCCAGTTAAATCGACAAATGGGAACAATAGGAGTCTGTCTTCTAGGTAAGGCTGTGTGTGTGTGTGTGTGTGCCGTTACATCCAAAATAAATGTTGGTTTTTTGCCTGTACGGCAAAATAATCGATGATGTGATGTGATGGCACTCGTCCATCCACTCCTCTTAGAATTTAGTGAAATTTGCACACAGTGATCACCTAATGGCTTTTCAGCCAAACTGTGTTCAAGGTCAAGGTTATACACGAGCAGGAGAGAACTGCTCCTCCTACAGTGTTGGCCAAGCTGAATATGGCTGTTTGTGTGCCTTCCTGGGTTAGTTTGTACACCACAGACAACTAATAAGAAGAAGACCTATAACGTTCTGTCTGTACTCCATCAAACACAATAGCTCGGTAATCGTGTTTGATCTCGAGCAAATCTTGCTACCAAGTCTCACCTGTCTCTCTCTCTCTCCTCCAGAATGTGAAGATGCCAGATTCTTTCAGCACCATCCCCACAGAAGCCCTCAACTCAAAAACTTCCTTAGTGGACCTGCTCTCACACCCTACAGAGCTTTACCCAGCAGACAGCTTCATTAACGCTCTCAGTAACATCAGCAGTGTTAGTGGGGCGGTTAACCCTCGCTGCACCTACAAGGAAGACTTTAAGCGCATTTTACTTCCTGCTGTGTACACCATCGTCTTCCTGCTTGGGATTCCTCTGAATGCCACCGTCATACTGAAGATATGGAGGAAGAGGTCCAATTTGTCCAGAAACAACATCTACATGCTCAACTTGGCCATAGCCGACTTTCTGTATGTGATGTCACTTCCTTTACTCATCTACAACTATGCGAGTCATGACTACTGGCCCTTTGGGGAGTTTACCTGTAAGATGGTCAGGTTTCAGTTCTACAGGTGGGTTCATGGTTGATTATTGGCTCATTTTTCAGATTTTATTATGTAATTTTTGGGAATTCATTTTTCATTGTTAAGGTCTGTGTATGCAAGTGATATGTGACACAGTGTTATTATGTGAATTGTCCTATTTTTGGACAGGAATGGGAAAGAAAATTGGATCTGAGATGTGATAAGTAATGGGAATGGAGACAATGACACTAATATTTAAGTATACTGGAAAAAATGTACTTTTTTGCATTATAGTGCGCACAAGTGTGACGTGAACGGGTGTGTAAAGCATGAAAACTAGTTTATGGAAGAAGTTCCAAACCTTTGAACATGGCAAGGTATCTAATGCAGATGCAGAAATAGTGCTAGTGCTCACACACAGTTGCCCTTTGAGAACGGGACTACATTTGGACTTTCTTGAGAAATGGTCATCGGATGCCATTAGTAGCAGAAGTTGGGATTTGAAGAAAAATCACGGGAAACAGAGTCTGTTGGCTACATGTCTTGTGGGAATTCTTCCTGTTTTCTGCAACTTTGATCTTGATCTGGGGGTTTTTTGGTTTTGGTTTTGCCACCAGCACAAATCTTCTTTTGGTGGAAATATCTGGAAATAGTCCTCAGTAGGGGTATTATTGCCAAATTTTGTGCTGGAAAAACAATGAGCACAATCATAGGAAACACTGTGGGGGAGGCGGTTTCAGCTTCTGTTAGATGATGTTAAAAGCACTTTGGGAACACACTGACAGCTCATTCCTCTTTGGATAATCTCTCAAGCTCCTCCAGATTTTATAGTCCGCTGGCATGGACTGTGGTCTTCAGTTCACCATACAGTCACTAATGGTTACTTTAGTCTTCAGGAAGTAGTTTTTCACCAGGAGCAACGTATGTTTTGAGTTGACAAAGGGAAGACCCAGTTTTGCTGCTAATTCTTGCCCTTCTTTCTCCAAATATAAGCAGGGTCTCTTGTTTTTCTGAAATAATTCTGTTATCATGTGCAAATAGAAACGAAAAAAATACTTTAGAAATGCTATACTGAAGGTCCCTTAATAAAAGCACTTTTTTGAAGAAAAACTTTGATTTTGCAGAACATACAAATGGATTGTGATAATATTCAGCTCAACAACATTTTCTTCTCTGTGTTCCTGTTTCAGTAATCTCCATGGCAGCATCCTGTTCCTGACCTGCATCAGTGTGCAGCGTTATTTGGCCATTTGCCACCCTCTCTCGGTGTGGCACAAGCAGGGCGGTCGCAAGATGGTGTGGTGCGTCTGCGGATTGGTATGGCTGGTGGTTGGCTCCCTGTGCGCGCCAACTTTCCACTTTGCAGCAACAGGGCAACAGCGCAACCGCACCGTGTGCTACGATTTGAGCACGCCAGGGCGCTCGGTAGACTACTATCCTTACGGCATGGCTCTGACGTGCCTCGGCTTCTTGCTGCCTTTCATAGGCGTGATGGTTTGCTACTGCAAGATGGCCTTCATCCTCTGCCGCCCAGTGTCCTACCAGGGCGTCTCCATAGCGCCTGGGGATAAACGAGACAGGGCGGTGAGGATGATCATTATTGTAGCCGCGGTGTTCTGCGTAAGCTTCCTCCCGTTTCACCTCACAAAGACTCTGTACCTGGTGGTGCGCACCTTGCCCAATGCTCCCTGCACAACAAGAAACTTGTTCTCAATCATCTATAAGAGCACCAGACCGTTTGCCAGCATGAACAGCTTTCTGGACCCGATTCTGTTTTACTTCACGCAACCACGCTACCGCCGGAGCACCAGGAGGTTCGTGCGCAGAGTCACCACTCTAAAGAGCCAAGGCAGCAGCGTGTGAGCGAACAGTGCTCCTTGAAGCCTTGTTAAGATTTAAAACACAGAGATGGATTCGTTTTCTAACCTTGCTTTTCTGAAGTTCCTTCTCTTATTACAGTAAACTGTTGTCCTTGAGGCTTTCAGCTATTAGTGACTAAAAAATGTGTTTAATAACAGTCTGAAGAAGCCATCTGAAGTGCCATATAAAGACTCAATGCAGTGTGAATGGAAAATGTTGACAATGTCCTGCTTGCATTGTTTTGAACTGGGAATTATTATCACACTGACTGTGAGTGTATTTGATTGTGCGAATTCATAGATTTTGGTTTATAACTCTGGATGGGGAATACTGTAATCCTCTAATGAAAATGTCCTGCACTGTACATAAGTGATGTTTACTTTCAAGCTCCACTGCACTGCTTTTTTTTTCTGAAATCCCCCTTTTTTTACATTGTTTAACACACTGTGACGTGTACTTTAAATTGAAACTACTGAATTATTGGGGAATTTTAGTATCTATGCGAGGTGTTACGATAGAGATGCATCGTGCTGGAATGAGATGCAGTTGAGGAAAGGAGAAAATAGTTCATTTGAACTTGCTAGGCTAAAATCCTCTCTGGCACTGTTTTTTGGTGGTGTTTATGCTTGCATGTTGAATCTGCACTAGTCTGAGGAAAGGAACTGAAAGGTGGGGTTGGGGGTATACTTTGCAAACAGAGGCTGCAAAAAACAGAAGTTTATGTTCACTGATTTAAAAGTGGAGTATTATGCGTTCCAATGAAGGTCTGTAGCTCTGTTTTTCCTTGAAAGTGATGCGTTTCTACATTATCCATGTCGTAATAGCTGCTGTTGCGGGTTTTAACCACTGGATGGTGCGCGCACGCCACTGCTGTAGCCCCACTGCCTCTGTCATAATAGGTTGGGGTTTTTTTTGCCTGTCCCGTTTGGATCTTTAGCCATCAGAATTGTTGTCTGAAGGCCAAGAAAGATGCCAAGCAGATTTACTTTACCGAATGGATCATCTGTCATAATAGTATTGATGTTAGCATGTATCAGATCTTACAGTCACAAATAAAACATTGTCAAGAAAACCGTTAAATGTGCAGCTCACAGCGCGCTGACATAGGCCGTCAGTTGCTGACTGATCTTTGTCTTGTACTTATAAATTCTGCAGCAAATGAAGGAAATCAGTTTAAATTATATGTTTAATTCAGTTATTTTTTTAAAAGTCATTTAAAGGTAAAGATAGAGGCAGATTGTGGAGTTAAGGGCATTAAATGAACTCTGTGGTTTTTTATGAGTGTGTGAATCTTTTCAGTCTAACTGGGATTCCTGTACATATGAAATGTTTAGTACTTAGCACTGCTTTGACGTGATTTAGCTGTATGACGTAGGTTGTCAGCTGCGTGATCTGGTGACTTAAAATGTTCATGAAATGAACATAAATGTAGATGGCATATGCCTGCATGTACATATGTGTACTTTGATGTTTACTGTAAAAATGTGCCCTGTGTTTTACATGTCATACCTGCCTTTCATAGTGAGCACCTTTGTCATGTTTTTAAACAGTGAGTCTTTGCCCTGTGACGAGCTCTGGACAAACAATGCACTTACCGTGGAGTGAAATAAACGTGATTAATAATTTTGTGACATTCGTGTTAACCAGAAGATTTCAGAGTAGCCAAACTCATATGTTACACTAGACTGTGCCAGCTTGAGACCAGTATGTTGTTAAATTCTGAAATGACAATGTGAAAAACGGCTTTCAACTCGTATTGCTCTGAAGCTCCTGTAACAGGTTAACACTTTAAGTATTTGTTGTATGTGTCATTCTAATGTGAATGTGCAGCTTTGACCTCAGTATGAGGTGGTGATGTGCTTCAGTTTCCTAATGTGTGCTCATGTGTATCTGTGCATAGTAACAATAGTCATGTAATATGTGTGTGTTGTACTTTAGAAAAAGTGAATGTCACAGTCATCTATCATCTATTGAGACCCAGACGTCAGTATTAGTTAGAAGGGTTATTTTTATCAAATTCCCTAACAAATGAATAATGGGAATGGTTTTTTATTTTTATAGACATGTAATTATGTTGATAGAAAAACTAAAACTGAAGGGTTTTTTGGGGTTTTTTTTTGCTGTACAGATGCTTAATTTTCTGTGTTGTGTTTCTGATTGTTGCCATGTCGTACTAACTGAAACTATTAAAAGCCATGAAAAACACGATGTTTTCTCAATCGTATATTAATACTGAGGGAGTAGACTGTGTTGCTTCCTTTTTTTCCATTTTTTACTGTAGTTTAACTTCAAGCGTTCAGTTTAGGCAGAACTTGAATTCAAACCTTAGGTGTGAATATAAAAAAGCAGCCAGTAGCTTCTGAATCCATATGATTATATGATGACAGCTGTTTAAATGATGTGACAAATGACTGAAAAGACATCATCTAAGAGTTTGTGATCTGCTTACACGCTACTGTTCAACCTTTAGGTAACACCAGTGCGTTATCAGCCAATCACAATACAGCAACGCAGTGTATTTACATATGTAGATTATTGAAGTTCAAACGAAGCATCATAATGGGGCAAAAAAGGTGATTTAAGTGTATTTCAGGAACTAAAGATGTGCTGGGATTTTTCCTGCACAAACATCTTTGGGGTTTACAGAAGATGAACTGAAAAAAGGGAAATATCCAGTGAGCAGCAGGTCTCTAGGTGAAAATCATCTCTGTTTTCTTGAACACAACAGTGAGTTCACTGTACTTGAACGGTCTCCGCAGTCACCAGATTGCAGTCCATTAGCCGCTAATGGTTAGCACAAAGAGTTATGAAGACAAAAAGGGGATCTGGCCCAGTATTAGCCGTATAGAATAGATTAGAATAGAATAGCTCTTCATTATCACTGTTACAAGAACAATGAAAGGCAGTTTGGCATCTCTCCGTGTGAAATACACAATAGCGTAAGTAAGTATTTACATAATAACACAGACAGATTTACATTTACACAAGAAAGATATGTACAAATTATTCATACACCTGCATACATACAGATACACCCATACATATATGTATATATACATGCATCTATGCATGCGTATGTACATACACACATATTTCCACATACATGCTTGAGGGTCCTGCGCAGTATCTTAGCTGTTCCCAGGACTGCGCTCTTCTGGACAGAGATCTCCGATGTTGTTCCCAGGCTCTGCTGGAGCCACTCGCCTAGCTTGGGAGTCACTGCACCTAGAGTGAGTGTCCAGGGTGCAAGGGGTGTTTGATGATGATGCTGGCTTTCTGCTGAAGTCTGCCAGTATAGATGTCTCTGAGGGGGGGTTAGTGAAGTGCCAATTGCCCGATCTGCTGCCCTCACCACCCGCTGCAGTTTCCTCTTCAGTTTCCAAGTTAAAGGAACTCTGATTCGGTGTTCAGCAGTGTAGAGAGATGGAAAAATGTGTGAAGAAATGTGAGAAGAGTATCTGAACCAGATCAATGCTGTTTGTATCGAAAAGGACATAAAAATAAATATTAGTGAACCTCATACTTTTACAAGCTAGAATAAAAATGTAAATGCTGTGGTTTTGGTGAAAAAACAAACAAACAAACTTACAGAACAAAAACTCAACACACACTGGTGCTCCACCAGAAAAGAATATTGTGTATTTTGACATACAATTAAATTTTTTTTTAAAAACTAACAAGTTTGCAAAAGTTTGGAGAACCTTTAAAAAAACAAAAACAAAAAGCAAACAAACTTTCTTAAAGATTTTGAGCTAATAGAGAATTAGTCTGAATTATTAAGAAATGTTTCAATTCCTGTATCAGTACTGCTTCTTCCTATTTGTTTGTGTTTAAAGAAAATAATTGGTTGGTTAGGAGTGAATTACTAAGGCAGATGGTGATTTCCTGAAAATGTTTCTTGCTGGAATTTAAAAAAAAACATTAACAAACACAAAAACAATCAAACAAACTCCAAAAATCCTTTCAATCCAAATCACATTCGGACCCTGCGAGGTCATTTAAATTTAAATTTAAATGACCTCAATTTAAATGCATCATGCCATCACAGATAGATGGGCTGACCTCACCGGGCTCGTTTGGATTCTTCCATCAACCTCCACCTTTGACCTGACGTGTTACGAGTGAGCCTTTAGGGGGCGCTGCAGCCAGCGTGTACTTTTCTCACAGCCTGTGAAACAGAATTCCCCCGTTGGAACAAAAGGACCTGTTAACCAGACAGCCACATGGGAAGCACCACAGAGGGGTTATTGTGCACGAGTGAAAACTTTTATCCTCCCTGCCACCACCACCAGCTCCCCCTGAATGCTGACACAGTAATTCACAAACACCATCACACCAAAGTTTGCTGGAGCTGTGCAGTAACTCAAACTCTTTGGCTTCCTTTGTGAATTTTTTTTTTACCCCTGAAGGCTGATTTTTAAACGTAACACCTTGAATGCATCTCGGAAATCAGCACCTATGTTTTCATTGACATCCTTTAGGTTTCATAAAGATGTTGCAAGTCCAAATTGTAGGTAATAATAAAAAATATGTTTTAGAAGTGTGTGTGTGTGTGTGTGTGTGTGGTGTGTGTGTGTGTGTGTGTGTGTGTGTGTGTGTGTGTGTGGTGTGTGTGTGTGTGTGTGTGTGTGTGTTTGCGTGCGTGCGTATTTTTTTGCAAGGGAAAGAAGCTATAATTACATCTTGTTAGTCCACAGTATATCCCCTCTCCTATCAAAAAGGGGAAAAAAAAGCTTTTCCTCTCAATCCCCGAGGGGGGCTATGACTGCCCCTATACCCCTGGTCCCGCCCAGCCACCCCCCTCTCTGCCTCTATCTCAGGCATTTACATGCAAAAAACAACATAAGTCACGGAAAAGCAAATCATGCCAAAACAGGGAGTCCATAAACAGTTTGGGAATTATTAGGGAATGATGCGCAGGGCCCGTGCCTGGCGATGGGCACACGTTTAGAAACAGTGAGAGGAAAACAATGGAGAAGTTGTGTTTGTGAAGATTTGGGGCCAAAGAAGAAGAAGAAAAAAGACTTGTATCGCTTTCCCACTTGGCACGGATACGGTTTCGGGAATCGACAACATGTAAGTTTTTGATAAGAGGGCAGCACTCAGCTACTTTACTCACTGAACACTTTATTTATCACTTAACTAACCTCGTTACAGAGCAATATGAAGCTTTGCCAGCACTCATTCCCCCCCTTTTTCTTGCTGTTAGGTTAAACTGCAGATGGACCACAACTAAGAAAAGGTGCTTGGATGTGTAACAGCTACCCGTGGAGTTTCCAATGCGTGTGTGAGAGCCGTAACAAAAGACATGAACAATGGCAGAAAGCGAGGAGAAGAATGCGGCTGTGTATCGCAGCGTCTCTTTCAGAAAGCTGGGGCCCTGGGTCGCCAACAGGAGGGAAGAGCAGCCACACAAATCAGGGGATTTGGAGGCAGTTGGCGTCGCCCTTCCCCCGGAGCCCAGCAAAGCAGAGCAGCCCTTGACGACGACGACGCGTAATGTCAGTGTGTCAAGAAAAGTTTCCAAAATCTCTGCCACCACCGCCAGCCTCCTAACCGCAGAGCCAAAGAGAGGCTCTCCCTCTCTTCTCTCCTTCATTTCTCCATCCATCCGCGAGCTGACTGAGAAGTTCAGCAACAGCAGGAGGAGTAACAGCAGCGGCTCCGCCAGGACGCACACAGCCTCGCCGGGAGACTGTGCAGCGGACACGCGGGGGAGCAGCACTTTACCCCGGGCCCGAGGCTCCAGGACTGACGGGGTTCCACCTGGGAAAACTTTTCACGAGGACAGCGGCGGTGTCGGTGGTGGATATTTCCAGGATAGTGACAGCGCAACAGCAGAGGCGCTTAAGTTTCACTCGGGCACCGACTCTGTGTCAGGCTCAGACTCGGACAGGAAAAGCGACAAGCGGATTTTTAGAAGTTTATCAAGCGACAGCGGCGGCAAGTCGGGTAAGAGAGACTATTCCCAGATTAATGCACCTCCTTCTGAGCTCACAAAGACTTTGACTCCAGATGAAGAGGAGGATGTTAGCAGTAGAGGGGTTCCTCCACCCTGCAAAGCCCACAGAAGTTATCACGCCACACACTACACTGACTTTCACCCCCTGCACTCTGACAAGTGGCCCAGTGTTACTAAAATTAGGCAGCTGTTTGATGAGAGGCAAAGCAAGCCTTTGCAGCAGGGCAAGACTGTTGAAGCTTGTGAGGATTTAAAGGCAGCTGGCCGAGGCCACCTGCAGGAGCTCACCTGCAGCTCTGAGAGACACAGACTGTGTCCCTGCAGCTCAGCTAATGAAGGCTGTGACCTGCCCTTTCATGACAAGTGCCTAGCTGGAGTACAGAGCAGAGAGAGCGGTGCTGCTAAAGAGACTTTAACGTATGGTTTGTGCTTTTACTCCAAAGCCGACCACTCTCGGCACTCAAATGATGAGGAGGCAGACGTAGAGGCGCGCAGTCAGAGTAACAGAGTGTCTGGCAGAAACACTTCTGGTAGCAGTTGTGGTCGCTACCACGGGGTTAAATCATCTCCATACAGGTCTCATAGTCCCAGCGCTGAGGCGGCGGCTCAGGCCCCCAGATCGACAGGATTGACATCTGACCCTAACCCTGACCTTCAACCCTGTCCCGCTTCGTCTCGGAGTCGATCGGAGAGCTCGGACACCACCTCCTGCTCCTCCTCTCTTCACCAGCCGACAGCGAGGGAGAGAAGGGATAGACAGGGGGTCGGGCTGCCCAGGGATAGTTTACATTCCTTACATAGCTCCTCTAGAGCTCCAGCCCCCTCCGCCTCCTCTCTCTCCTCTGCTCCAGCTCCAGATAAAGCCATTACCGCCTCCTCCTTCTCCTCCTCCTCCACTGTAGCTCCCTCCACTGAGTTAACACACCCAGCGAAAGTTGCTTCTCCCCTCAGCTCCCGCTGGAGGTTTAGCTCTGGAGACGAAGAGGAGGAGCAGACCAGGAGAAAAAGAGGAGGCAGTTGGAGTGCTTCTTATAAGCCCTCTCTGTCTGTCTCCTACCGGGCAGGAGAGAGGGGTGAGACAGAGCGAGCAGGCAGCTATTTATCCCACAGTAAAAATGGCTGGTGGGGCACAAAGGCCATTGGCAGGTCTTCAGGCAGCGAGGAGGACAGTCCTGGTTCCTTAGGCCCCCACTGCCGAGAGGCAGTCCGCCGGCGCTCGCTGAGGAAGAAGAAGAAAGTCAGCGGGGCTGCTCTAATAACAGGCCGTGATGACTATGACGATCATGATGGCGAATCAGAAGACAGTGACAGTGATGCGGCCGTGATGATGGAGCACCTAGAGAGGCAGCACCAGCAAAACACAGGAGGGGAATTTGGCGGGGCAGTAACCCGGAGCCACTCGGCACGAGAACCCAGCAGTCACAGAGCCAGGGTGCAGCAGTGGGAGCGCATCACCTCACCTGTGACCTCAGTGACACTCCCGGGTGTGTCGCGAGTGTCAAAGGTCAGCATACCCCCATTTCTGTCCAGCCCCGGCGAGTCACGTTGCAGCAGCCGGTACTCAAGCACCGAGACACTGAAAGAGGAGGACTTGGCTGGCTGTGCCAACCGTGCAGCTAATGTGTTGTTTAATACGAGGGGAGCAGAAGGTAGCACTAGTAGAGCGGCGGCGTCTTCCGTGTTGAGTAAAACTTACCATGGGAATTTTACCATGTACCGCTCCCCGAGCTTCGGCCATGGGGACAACTTCTCCCGTGCCCCTGTGCGTGTGCGCCCCAAGATTGTGCCAGCTGTAACACCGTTGCCTAGTGCACTTGCCAGAGAAAGTGGGTTATCTTCAGGGAAGAGAGGTGGTGAGAACGTGGGATTAAGGAAAGTCACAGCAGGGGGTAGGGT